TTCCCATGGAAGATGAAAATTAGATTTTAGAAAAATAGATTTGGCAACTATCATTGTGGCTAGGAAAGCTCAAGACTCTGTAACTGTGATTGTACCAAAATAAAAATTGGAAAGTTCTGAGGTATTTGTGTAATAAAGAAGTTATATAAAGGTTTACAAGCCAGTTTAGTTAATGCAAACCCAAGATAAGTCTTTCAGAATTGCAGAAAGCTACAGAGCCAATATGGTAGTAGATTGCTTGCTTGGAAAGTTCTGAATAGAGAGATAGCACAGATCTTTGATGGTACTACAGACTGATCAATACAGAAGAACTGAATAAACTGAACGGGACTAAAGTGTTTGGCAAAGCACTTTACTAACCAGGCTGCTGAAGGAGTAATAGGAGAAAAAGGATCCAATCATGAGGACCAGAAGCAGGTCATAGCCCTTCCAGGCCATCTGGATTGGTAGTTTGGGATAGCTGGAATACTGATAATAGTCTGTAAATATATCAGGGTTTGAATGAACTTTATAAGGGCAGTAGTAGATAACTGTAGTGGTCTCAGCTCACAAATAATTGTCTTTGGACTTGGTATAAGTTACCAAAGAAGACTAGACAATATGGTAATAGTGAATACCAGACTGCTCTAGATGATGTACTCGAAGATGAATCAGTTAATCATGCCAGTAGTTCTATAGGTGGATGTGACAATCTTGGAACTTGAACTGACTTATATATCACATGTTCTGGGTAAGGTTAGATAGATTGACATAGGAAACTCAGATCAGAAGGTTTAATTAGATAATTTAAGTAATAGTGGGTTATAGGTATGGCATCTAATATAGCATCTAGTAAATAGGTAGATATTTAATTAGGCACTTAAAAGGTGCAGATATGATTAGAATATATCATTGTTAGAATGTACTTGTCTGGTACCCTCTGAAAAGCACTACATGATCTAACAATTTAATAAAAGTGATAAGCTAAAGAGGCTAACCTTGACTATAATAAAAATAAATATAATGTATATATGTATATATATATCTTTTTGATGCTAAAAATACTATTAACTTAGCAACTGTAATATATTAGTTTTTATTTGAAATCTGTAAATATTGTATACTTCAATTGTTCTGTGCTTAGTAATGCTTATTATTATTTAAATATCAACTTTATATTTTTCAATTTTTGAATAGTATATTTGCAATTGAATAATTTACTATTTTTTTCTATTACAATCAATATCTGTAAGAAACAAATTTTTTTAAAAAACCTGATGTTTATCACAACTTAAATACTTAACTTATTTAAAATACTACTTTCATTTAAATTTAAAAAATTAATATATATAATTGTATAAATATTTAATATAAAAAAATAAAAATAAAAATAAAATATATTATTTGAGTAATTAATAAGTGAATAAAGAAAAAATTCTTTATCTATACCAATTAGTTGTTTTGATATATAAAGATTAATATCTGAAACAGCATAATTTCATTTAGTTAATTAGGTGATATAATATAAGATTGGTTTTGAGCCTTATTACAAATATAATTATAATAAAAATATCTGCTTTGATGTATTTTATTGTAAACTATAAACAAATTATATTCATTATCATTAAATAAAGTTAAATTCTTTCGGAAGCTCTGACCCTGGTTGTGAGCATCATTCCATCGATCAATGGCGGGTCGTATAGCCTGGATGGAAACCCACCAAGTAGAGGTAGTTCCTTTCAAGTGTGGGACAACTACAGGGATCTTATGATTATCCTGCACTTGATTGGCTTCGAATGCTTTTTCAACATCCTCTAGCCAGGTGATGGGGTCCTGTTCACCGCCAGAGAAGTCGGGATATGTGACCAAATTGAGTTCACGATTTTGTGCAGCGAGAATGTTAATTTGAGGCACCGGGGCGTGTTGCAGTTGAAGAACGAGGTTACCAATCTGTTTGGCTAAAAGGGTCATAGGGTCATTCTGACCTTCTGGAAAGTTGTTCTGCGGTTGGTCGTTCTCGTCATCGTTAGGATTGATTAAGAGAGGAGGGTCTTGGTTGTGATCATGGGCCATAA